GACCCTGCTATCCATCCAGCTTTTTAAAAAAGCGGGGTGGTTTTCGCTCAGACTTGGCAAACAAGTTTTGAGCTGCGAACCTAACTGCGGCGCGATTGGGGTGTGTGTGTGGTGAGGAGGGGAAGAATGTCTCTGGGATTTAATTGGGATAATTTCCTACCCTCTAATGAAAGTCTAGACAGCCCCAGATGCAAGTGTCAGGAACTGGAGGGTGAGCGATTGATTGCCCCCGGTGCCCTGCAGACAAAGCAGCTCTGGCTGTGGATTAAGCCTTAAGTGTTCTGCCGCTTTATTTATTTTCTCAGGATGTGTTTGCACTGATGCTTCGCTTAATAACAGGATGCCACTTGTTCTCTTTGAACCAAATGTGATGCCCGCCCATCTCAGAGATGAGCAGCTTCTTTTGCAAACCCCACAGACGATGGGTCTTGACATCTTCCCGCTCGAGAGGGTGCCAAGGAGCAAGGAATCCGGCAACTGGAGTACATTTTGCTGCCGCTTCTTTTTTTTAAAGCAAGGTTCCGGTCCTCATTGCTGCAGAGAATAGCCAAATTTCTGACTTAAAAGAAAGAGAGAAAGAAAATACCTCTCACATCCAGTGCTCTGAAGGAGAGTCTCCTCATTTCTTTGCACAGTTATCAGGCTCCCAAAGTTAAGACTCTGCTAACCCTACTCTCAGAATAGTCTCATTGGAATTAATGAACACAACTGACTTAGATCTATTAATTTCAGTGGGTCTGTCTTGAGTAAAATTCAGTCTGTCTGTTCTCAGCAGGGGCACAGGAGGCAGAGTTGTGGTGGCACTACTGCGCACTGGGGCAAGGCAGCAGCGGGCTTTGCCACCATCCCAGCAAGGATGGTGCCAATGCCAGGAGATCACTGCTGCTGCTCTTCTGCCCCCTTTGCTGCTTGCCCCACTTTTGGTCATCTGCCCTAGTATTGCGATTTGTGTTTTGCAGCTTTACTCTTCCAGTCTCTCCACCACCCACTGCCCAGATCAAAACCTGTGCAATGACTCCCTCCGAAAAAGAGAGATTGCCGTTCCAAACATTCCTGCATTGCAGGGGGTTGGGCTAGATAACCCTCAAGGTCCCTTCCAACTCTTCCCATTCTGGGAGTCTAAATTATTGTAGGTCATTTCATTCCAGTTACATCATTTCATTCCAGTCGCACAGTTTGGGAACTTCTGTTTTGTTAGTGCAAAACTCCAGACTCTCATCGCTGAGCTCTCTTCTGCTGGGTGGCACAGAGGAAAAGCTGCCTCCAGTTGCCTGTATAAGATCCAGGCTTTTGCATCCCTTTGGTTTTTTTTCTGCTGGGCCTAGTCTTCAACCAGCCACCCAACACCCTGAACTTCTGATCGATGACAGGTGTGAGACTTTGGCAGTCAAAGCCCTCCCTGTCCTCCCCCTGCTGTCTAGAAATGTGTTGTTGTTTTTCCTAAAAGAGCATGTATCTTCAGGATATAGAATCCTTTGCTTGTGTCTTGCAGTGGCGTTGGAATCTTAACACAGCTCTCGTGGCCCCGGTCTCTTAACCACGCACAGCTTGAACGGCATCTTATATGGAGGCCAAGCACAACTGGGAGACGGGCAGAAAGTAGACTGGGACCAGCGGGTAGCTCTCTGGATGACTTTGATTTGGCAAGGGCTTCAGATTCCTGACTGTTTAATAATGACAACAACCGAGAAGTCTCTTCTCCCTTCTCAAATTAAGCTGCCGAAACAAAGAAAGAGGGGAGACTAGGAGTGGGTTGGGGGGAGGGGTGCTGTGAGCTCAGTCTTGATGTCAAAAACAGAGTCCCAGGAGCAGCGTGTGCGTTCACGCTCGGTGCCCTGTTCCTGAAGTCCCCGCCGCCCCATCTGTAGAGGAGTAGTTAGCTTTCTTAAGAAGTCATCTTCGCTCTCTCAGTTGTGAATGTGAACATTGCACTCAGGTCCCGTTTGCAGGCTTCCCCTTGAGGTGTCTGGCTGGCCACTGTAAGAACAGGCCGCTGGCAAGGAGACCTTTGATTTGGTCCAGCGGCCTGTCTCTTCTTATTTTGCTGTGGTAGTGGGGATGCAAGCATGCCTTTAAAAAATAATAATGCAGCAGCAGATTGGTGGAGCTGCAACAACAATGGTCTCTCTGTAGGAAAGGGGAGGTGGGCCGATCTTGCCCTAGTCGCTGACGCCACAGACTTGCTCATCCATGCATGCTCAGCAGCCATAGCGCCCCAGCGCTCACTGGCATGTATGAATGAGCCGTCGCAGGTCTAACTCGACAACTGGAGGGACCATAACACCTCCAGTTCAGTGTTAGCTAGCTGGAGTCCAGCTGCCTGTTGAGTATGCAGTCAAGGGCTGATCCACAGAAATTTGTGCTTGGGGGGGGGCGTTGGCCACAGACAGGGGCCGTTGCCACACTCCAGAAATGTGTGTTTTGGGGTCGGGGGCCCAAAGGGGGTGCTGCTATGAAGCCTGACCCTGTTGCAGCCTAGCAGTATTATAACATAACGGGTCATCTCTGTATGTATTTGCTCTTTGTATTTACTGCAAGGATTTTTTTATATATAAAAACATTTCCTCCTCCCCTTCTCACTGAATTCTGTTTGAATTATTCTTCTTTATTTGTGGCTCGGTTGTTCCCCCACAGCAGGCACAATCAGTTCCCCTGGCCCTCATCCGATCTTAATTTTAAATTCTCAGCCGGAGAGGCTAACCGTTTCTGCGTTCCTCCCCGTCCCACACACCCAGATTCCCCACCCCCTTCTAAGACCAGGAGTGGAAATTTCAGCCTCTGTACGGGCTCTGGAATCCGAGCCGGCAGCTCCGTGGCCTTGGGAGATTTGGGGAGTTGGAGATGGGCCCAGGAACCTTTCAGCGCCTGGGTGAGTCAGAGAAAAGCGACGGAGGAGGTGAACGTCTGGAAAGAAGATTTGAAGAGGCAGCAGGAAAACATGGAGGAGGAGATGTAGCGATGATCCTTCTTCTGGACCTCACCTTTGGGGACTCCTTCCTTTTTTATTTTAAAGCCTGGAACCCAAATTTTTGCTCTGCCCGTAGGTCCAAGTAGCAGAGTAACAAAAACAGTTGCCGTGCAGGCGTTGGGAGGCTACGCCTTAAAGGAAGAGGACTTTGCCATTAGGAGGTGACGGGAATGGCCAACTTGTGAAGGTTGGGAAATTCAGGACAGACGAAAGCATTTCTTTACACAACACGTAATGCAACTATGCAATTTGCTCCCTTAAGAAGTGATGGCCACCAATTTGGATGGCTTTAAAAAAGAGGATTAGACACAATCTTGCAGAATCAGGCTGTTGATGGCTCCCCAACACTGTGGCTGTGTTCTGCCACTACCGTTGGAGACAATATGCCTCTGAGGATCAGTTGCCAGGAATCACAAATGGGGAGAGAGCTGTTGTTGCGCTCGGGTCCTCCTTGGGGGTATCCCACCAGCATCTGGTTTGTCTGCTGAGAGAACAGGATGCTGGACTAGATGAGCCACTGGCCTGATCCAGCTGGGTTATTCTGCTATTCTTGAGTATTTGGCTGGGCACCACTGCTGATGCCAGCCCTGTCCCCACCATGTCAAGTAGCCCCAGGTACCTGTATCTAGTCACTCTTTCTGATTTCCCATAATATCCCCTGCTTAGTACTGGTGCCTTGCGAGACATCTTCAGGAGAAGAAAAAGCTAAGGACTCAAGCCTACACAAATCCATAGTGGAGTCCCTAAGACAGTTGGAGGCTGCCTGGTATGCCTCCTTCCCACAACTCCTGCAGCCAAGCTGGTGCCAAACATTGCTCTGCTTTCCTTTGAATCACATTGGCAAGGATGAGAGGGGGGTGGCTTGTCATCTGGGTAGCTCAGGGCCTCCATAACACACTGCTCAGGTTTGCGCCCCAGAGAGGTCACTTTGGTGCTACAAATGCGGCAAAAACAATGTGGGAGGCAGCAGTTATAACCTCGGGAGAGATACCGTACGCCTTCATCTGCCCCAGCTGCAACAAAACATGTCTCTCCCGTATCGGTCTTTGCAGTCACAGCAGGTGCTGCAAGCTTCCAACAGTTTGACTTCACTTCTCCATTGGTGCATTTTGGGAAATTTAAAGGCTGGTCCAACCCATCTGCCTGGAAAGTGGCCTCCATAACCGAGTAAGCTCAGCAAAGTCATTAACAGACAAAAGAGTTGCCTTCTCAAACTTTGGATGGCTGTGGGGGGCACAGCCTGTTCTCCGCACAGTGGTCCATAGACAACAGTCTGCCGCACAACCTCATCCCCTTACAGATAGTATGGGTGTCATAACGTTCATATAATTTTGAAGTGTGTCCCCTCCGGAATTCCTGAGGCATCGCATACCAAGCCCAAAGCAAGATCTAACAAGGCGATATTGTTGCACTCTCCTCTCCTAGCAGGCCGCAGTCAGCTTGGCCAGTGGCCAAGGGTGTCTGGTTCCCCCACCCCAAAAGTATAGAATGTTCCCTCTCTCATTTACAGCTTGAAAGCTTTTCTTTCCCTAGCGAGGGAAGCTGAGGTCCGGCTTTTCACTGCTTCTTGATGAAACCGCCTTACAGATGATATTGCTTCAGGGTCGCATCCGGCCAACTGTCTGCGTCTTGGCCAGCTGAGCTCATGGGGTCAGAGACAAGACTTTGCAACAGGAAGCTCCCTTATACAGAGTCAAGCCATTGCGCCATGTAGCTCAGTGTAGCTGACAGGCTGTAGGTCTCCCAGGAGTTGGGGCAGGAATCTTTCTCCACTATCTGGGGATGCCTGGGACCTTCTGCTTCGGGAAGTGGACACCCTACCGCTGAGCTATGTGCCACCGAGTGAAACTGAAGCACTGCCTAGGACAGATAACTCAGTCCCAGGGCCCAGCTAGAAAGATCTGGAAAGTTGCATTTGGCCACGGTCTGAGGTTCCTCACCCCTCCTCTTAATTCTTTCTCCCAAGCCACTGCTAAATATCAGTATAGCGGTACCCAACAAAAGAGTCACACCAAGACACCGGGTTTATAAATAGCATTAAATAACCTGGCGGAGTTTTTATTATTTCAAAACAGAAAAAAAAATAACCCCAGATCCCCAACAATAGTTATTAAGATCAAACACACTGTTCTATACAAAACGAATATAAAACCCAACCTCATGACCCCTGGGGACTTGCCCCGGGGCCAGTTAAGGCTTTTGCTGCTATCCTCCTTGATTTATAATTTAATTAAATTATTAACTATCTGTGGTTGAGGGAAAGGGCTATCACTGACAAAACTGGGGAGCTGTTTGGGGGGGATTCCCTCTGGTTCTACAGAGGTTTTAAATATAATTCACCCCCTCCAGGGGGAAACTTAGTGTGTATCAGCCTCGGTATGGGCATAGCTCATGTTGCTCAACTACAACTCCCATCAGCCCCAGCAAGCATGGCCAATGGCCAGAGATGATGGGAATTGCAGTTCAACAGCATCTGGAGGGCCCAATGTTCCCTGCCCCTGTTGTAAGGGCTGGTGCTTCTGGCACAGCAATGTGCAGAATGAGTTTCTTGTTCCCTTTTGCTGCCTCTTGGCCCATGTGCTTCTACTCCTCAGGGAGGGGAGAGACAATGAGAAGACCCTGGCTTGGCATCCTTTCGCTCTCAGAGCTGGTGGAGTCCCATTGTTTCCCACCTTCGCCCTACTTCGCTGCTGCAACCACTAACCTCTGCTCTCATTTTAGAAGAATTGAACGTCAGCGTCTAGGGATGATAGCCAACTGACTTTTACTCAGAGTAGCCCCACTGAAATTTGTGGACCTAAGCTAGTCGGAACCATTGATTCCATTGGGTTTGCTCTATGACCTTCTCTCTCCCTGCCACCTCAATGAAATCACCTGCTTTCCCTCACTTTTTTTTTAGGCTGGGAAAAATAATTCCCTTTTAACGGCCTCCTCATGCTAAGCTGCTGCTTATTCCCTTGCCACTCACTCGGCAGTGCCTCCTAGCCCATAATGTTAGGGCCGTCAGCTCCCCTCGCAACCTGTGATAATTGGGAACCAGCCCAGACACAACATTATTTTCTGGGCTGAGGGGAGGAAATTCTTCGAGTGGCCTTTTCTGCAGGCCACAACAGTGAGAGGCACAAAGGCCTGGTCCCTTCGCCCCTCCCTCGGCACGATAGAAGAAGGGAGGCCTAACTGAGGCCGGCCTACTATGAGGAAAAAGCCCCAGAGCCTGACCACTTTGGGAAGGCTTTTCCCCCCAACCAAGGCCTGTAATTTCTCTGGTGCCTTGTCATTGCCGCAAGAAAAAGGAGAAAGGCACGTGCTGCCAAAAAAATAAGAGAGGCTCGCCTGTCCAAAGCCAGAGACAGCTGTGGGGTGGGCCAAAAAAAAGCCCATTTGAGAGCAGAGAGTGGGGGAAGGAGGAGGCGCTAAGAGGCTGAGGTAGACGCCGCTGATTCGAGCACATTTTCTGGCTCCCCCAGAAAAAACGTGTGGTGTAAACTTGCCAAGTTTTGGTGAGGCTGAGGAACATTGCTGCCTCCTTTGTTCTTCTTTAAAAAAAAACCCAGCAGCAACAACAAATATATATATATATAAACCCTCCCCACAATTAATACTCTTTATGCATCCAGGGTAGTGAATAAATAAAAAGGATAATAAATACAGTACACGAGCGGACAGGAAATAAAAAAACTGAGGGAACAAGCACAATGGAGAATAGGCCCGTTGACGGCCTGGGCTAAGCCAGATGTTGTTTTTGCAGAATTGGTGCCTGTTCTCTTCAGTCAGCTCCGTTGCTTCTCCCTGTCGCTCATTCCACCCCATCCCCGAATAAACCACACAAAAACAGCAAGGGGCTTTTTTTCACCTCCTCCTCCCCACCCTGGATTCCATTTTGGAGCCCGGCTGACCATCACCCTATAACTTATCAGGGAGGAGAAGCTTGCTTGACAACCCCACACTTGAGGTCAAGCCTTTTCAGGCATGCAAGGCCTTAAGCCTCTGGGTGCTTTCCCCTTTCCCCCCACAACTTGGTTTGTGTCCTGAGTCTTCAAATGTCCAGGCAGAGCCAAGAAAGAGAGTCCGCAACATGCGGCAGAAGGTCCTGGAAGGTCCCTGAGCCATTCAGCAAACCTAGCACCAGCTTTTGCTGCTTAGGGTCTCTTGTTTGTGGGGTCAGCGGGGAAGGTTTGGTGCAGTTTGGTCATCTTCAGGAAAGCGACATTAAGAAGACGTGCCTTTTGAGCCCCCTCCCCACACAGACGCCTGCCTCCATTGTGGGTTGCAGGGGCCAGAGCAAGTCAGGAGGCCTGGGCAGGAACCACCTCTCCCCAAGAGGTGCGCATGTCTATTTGCGGCCTCGCCGGTTCCTTAGGACCTCCAAGATGCGAGCCTTCTGCTTCAGCCACTGGCTCGACAACCTCTTTGGAGCCTTGGGGACGAAGAAGGTGTACTTGAGGCGCGGGGTCTTCTGGTCGGTCACCACCAAGGCTTGCAAGGTGAGCGGTTCTTTCAGGGGCCCGCGCCCCACGATCGTCTCCATGGCCTTGGTGGCCCCGCTGTAGCGCATGTTCACCCCGCCTGGCAGGTGGACGTCCTGCTCGGAAGGTGCCAGGATGTAGTTGCCGTTGAGGGCGTAAGTGCCGTCCCGCCGGCGGAGAGCCAGGTAGATCCCGTCGCTGGAGGACGATGGGCCGCTGCTCTGGCGGATCAGGACGTTGGTGGCTCCCGCCGGGATGGTGACCACGTCGTTGTAACCGTACCTGATTGGGCGGAAGGACGAGAAAGATCAGGGATCAGCTGGGATGGAGAGCGGGAAAAGGCCTGCCTCTGAGGGGCAGGGTGGCCAGGTCTCCACAAGACTCAGGGCTCATTCACACTTCTGTTTTCCTTGCCACTTTCCTCCCTGGGGGAACTTGCATTTTAGCGCTGAATCAGAACAAAGGGCAATCCGGTTTTTCTGCGGATTGCTGTTCTGATTTCGCGCAGAAGAACAAGTTTTCCAGAGGAAAGCGGTGGGAAACTGCTTGGAGCCATGCTTTCTGGGCGTGGGACAAGTGTGGCCAAGCACCCAAATTTTCTGAGTGGTTCTCAGGGAACTTTGGGAATTGTTGATCTGCAAGGGGAATAAGGGGCTCCTAATGACTATCAGCATACTTGATAGACTACATCTCCCAGGGTTCTTTGGGGGATGCCATGACTGCTTAAGGTGCTGTGCTATGGCTTTAAATGAATGGTGTGAATGTGGCCCTAGGAAGCTGGAATAGGAGCCAATCTCTTGGTCCGAGAAAGGCCAGGTCTTAGGGCTGGATGGGATTTAGGGCTGGATGGGATTGGAGTGAGAGGTCCCGCCCTTTCCACATTATTTATTTGTTTCAACACTTTGTATACTGCTTAATCCCAGTCATACAGAAGCAGTGTACCCATAGACATGTTTCCTTGCAAACAGCAGTCCACGGTCTTCTAGGAATCAGGGGCTGTTAAAAATCGCCCAGTTGTTCTGTTGGAATTAATTTATGTGCATTTGTAATTCTGTACTCAATTGCATGCAGGGGAAGCCACTTTATAGCTTTCCCTTCAAAATGCATGAAAGTTCTTACACCTTTTTGTTAGGAATGGGAACAGGATGGTTTTATAATTGGAACAAATCATGTAAGTATGAATATATATGTACATATTTGTATCCAGTGCTTTTTTTCTTTTAAAAATGTTTTTGGGTACTCTCATTTTGACTCAAGAAAATAACCATTTTATAGTTCAAATCGGGGAAAATCAATACAGTAAATGGACAATAGTACAAAGATTCACAAAATGTTTAGGGCTTTGCATACCCCTGCATCCCCCCGGAAAAAAGCACTGTTTGTATCCAACTAAGTAGGATTACTCTTGGATACAACCTGAAATTCATAAATGCAAGAACTATTCATCATTTATATCTGGGCTCTTGAATTAGGGTTTCTATGGATACTTTTGGCATAGGCCTATGTTTAACTGTTGAAGTAATGGCATCAGCAAGGTCTCAACTATCTGTAAAGAAATGCTTGGGGTTGGGAAGGAGGGAAACACATTGTGCATTCCCAATGTCTTAGCGCCACACAAAGCAGCGCCTGCAAAAAAAAATGTCACTCACTGAGGGTTGGTGAAAGAACCATAGATCTTGGTGCATCCAGAGTTGTCCCCTCCGCACGCCATGCATTTGTCAAACTTCTTCTTCGAGCCGATGACACGATCGCAGCCAGCGTGGACGCAGCGCCCCTGGACGCAGACTGAGGTGGAGTCAGGGGAGCAGGGTGTTCCATCAGCCACCTAGAACCAAGCAAGAGTCAGTTTGCTGCCCCAAGGGCTTATGGGAAAATCACTTTCCTCTTCAGTCCTCTACTTCCTTCCCCACAACACCTTCCAGATTCCCCATCTCTCGCCTACACACTCTCAGATAGCTGTCCATTGCTTTGCATTTTGTTTCCGAAAGCCTGTTCTGTGTAAAGTGTAAAATAACCTCAGGGTCTCCTGAAGGACGGGAGGCTCACGTTGCCATGGTAACACTTACCTTCGGTTCCAGGACATAGTAGTAGCCCAAGGCATGGGATTGGCAGGTCAACTTGCACTGGTCACGCTCAGCCACACCGCTGTAGCGGGGCACCCAGTCCATGGGGGCAGGGTAGTCCTTAAACATGTCCGTGCGGTGATTGTAGACAGCACACTGCTGTTCCCGGTAGGTCAGAGCTGGAGGGGAATTAACACACAGGGGTTAAGACCTGCAACTAGGGCTGGGTGACAACAATAAAACGGCCCCAGATGCATTTTGGGTGTGAAATCGGCATCAACATTCATGTTAAGCCTGTTGACGATTGCTTCCGTCTCACGTTTTCTCTTCCATATTAAACAGTTAAGCAAGAGCCCTGTGCGCCACTTGGAATAATGAACCCAGTTAGCACACAGGAACATAGGAAGCGGCCTTATGTGGAGTCGGAGAATTGGTCCCTCTTGCTCACTATTGCCTGCACTCGCTGGCAGTTGGCTAGCTATGGTTTCAGCCAGTAAGAAACACAAGCGAGGAAGCACCAGGGCAGGCTGTGGCAATCAAGTCCACCTAAGAAACGCTGTTTGAAAGTGGCAAAAACGATCTTACCGTTCCCATCAGGGCAATTCTGGACGTTGCAGGAGCGGTACTGGGTGCGTTTCCCTTCGCAGTACTTCCCACCATTGCGTGGGACAGGCTTGTTGCACTCGCGGGTGGAGTACTGCACTCCCCCTCCGCAGCTGCGGGAGCAATCACCCCACGGGCCCCAACGTCCCCAGCCGCCGTGGGTGGGAATCTGCAAAAAAGGAGAAAAGGGAAGAGAGAGTGAAAAAGTGCTTTGTGTGAGACGATACGTCATACAGTGTTTTCAAATGTACAAAGCACTTCACAAGCATTATGGTGGCGACAGGTGAATCTGTCAGTATCTGTTTCTCCTTTTTCTAAACTTAAGTTCAGTTCCTACATTTCCACATCAGTTTACATGCTTTGTGTGTGCCTCTTGTGTTCTTGGGTTTCCAAGGCTTGTATCTAGTGTAGTGCCAAGCAATTCGATCCACTAGCGTAAGAATTGGTGCTTGTGCAGCAGATCTTCTCCCCTCCTTCCCCTGTGCACCCCTTAAATCTGTCCTGATGCTCCCCTCAGGAGCAGATTTGGGAGGGCATGGTGTCCATTCAGGGGAGGAGAAGAGGGAAAGCACCATTACGCAAGTACAATTCCCTGTGCTAACAGAACAAGTGCATTCAATACCGTACAAATGCGTCCTTCCCAGCTCAAAAAGTGAGCCCTATGTCCTTTATGTCTACCCTGGAAATACAGAGACACTGCTGGCGGGTCTACTCACATTGTACGTCTTCAAGTCGACTTTGCTTATGCACTGGCCGCTCATGCAACTCTTGCCTTCGCCGCAAGGTGTCCCATCGGCCCAGGGGAAGTATTTCGTCTGGCACATGTATTGCCCGTTGATCTGCCCCGTGCACCACAGTGAGGAACAAGGGGGACGCATGCTGGGGCAGTGGCGTGAGTCGGGCCCAAAGCTCAGCTGGCACTGCTGGTCCACGTCATAATCACTGCCGGGGAAGGCAGCTGGGAGGTGCAGGGGTTCACGTGGTTTGTCTAAGAGGCAGCGACCTGCAAGGAAAGGGATGAGGAAGGGGGAACCAGAAGATCGGTTAATTCAAGGCCTAGGAATGGGCAGATCTGTCAATTTTGAGTATACAGTTCTGCAAAGCAATGTTCCCTAATAAAAATGCATTTTAGTATGCCCTTTTCATCATTACTGCATATGCATTTTATATTTCTTTGGACATCACTTGGCCGGAGAACAGCATTACAACGTTTAGAGATGCATGAATTTCAAAAAATGGCTGTTTTCCGTCTTTGCATTGTTTTGGTTCTCCTTTCAATGCAAACTGAATTGAATTGCTCCCCCTTCTCCCTAGGTGCTTAAGTTGTCACATGAGGCCAGGATGGTGAGGAAGGAAGCTCGACCACCGGGGCTGAAAAGATCCAACTGAACAGTCGAGGAATGCGCAGATCGGAAGGCAAAGTCCTACCATGGTCATTGTCTAGGAAGTCAGTGATGAAGCGGGCACTGCATGGGGACCACATCTCTTCAGGGTCCACGGGGGACATGATGGAGGCCATCATGTGGCGTGAGTTTGAGTGGCGGTTCAGCTCTCTGCAGTGCTTGTCATCGTCATGGAGCATGTTGAAGACATGGCCTATACAAGGGGGAAAGGAGAGAGAGAGAGAGAGAATTCAGCTCCAGCTCCCCATATACTTGTGAAGCTGCAGAATATTTTGTGTTAATTACTCGGCCATTCAAGTACAGAATCTGCTATCTAATGAGAAGCGTAGGCTCCCAAGATTAGTTATTATTTATTAAACTCATATCTTGCCCTTCCTCCCAAACGAGCCCAGGGAACCAAACACACCGAACGATAAATAACGACTGTTATTCAGAGGCATACTGCATCCGAGAGTCGAGGCAGAGCATAGCCCTGATGGTTAATAGTCATTGATACATTATCCTTCATGAAACTCATATTGCTGACTAGACAAGCCTAGGCTTGCACTCCACACCTCTGTCTTTTTTGGGAATAGACCACCTGGCTTTTCAGCAGGGGTGGATCCATGGGAATGCCCCCCAGGGGTGGCTGGTTGAGTGCAAGGTGCCAGTCCCCACTTACCAAGCTCATGCGCTGCAGTGAAAGCAGACTGGAGCCCGTCATCCTCCACGATGGAGCAGCTGCGTTCTGGGTCACACACAGTGCCCACGTCCGCCATGCCCAGAGTGCCACAGCTAGAGCGCCCGCAGAGATCCTGCCAGGGAAAGACAAATGCATATTGTCAAGGCCACCAATGCACAGTGTGGTAGAAACAGCCATTGAAGGAGCCTCCAAGGTGGCACTGGCCATGTGGGATGGCACCCTCTGTAGGAGTCAGCAGGCAAAGTCTACAGTATCTTTCTGGAGGAGAAGGCACCCACTGGCTGCCAAATCAGCTCTCCTTGCAAGTCAGTAGGGGGAGAGATGGTCAGACACTTGCGTTTAGACCAAGCTAGAACTGATAGAATCATAGAGCTGTAGGGCTGGAAGGTTCTAGTTAGCTATGATTCCCTGCAACACAGGAACCATAGCTAACAAATTCCTGATGGAAGGCCATCCAGCATCTCTTTCAAAACCTCCAGTGAACAAGAGTTCGTAGGTAAAGTAAAGGGACCCCTGACCGTTAGGTCCAGTTGCGGACGACTCTGGGGTTGTGGCGCTCATCTCGCTTTATTGGCCGAGGGAGCCGGCGTACAGCTTCCGGGTCATGTGGCCAGCATGACTAAGCCGCTTCTGGCGAAACCAGAGCAGCGCACGGAAACGCCGTTTACCTTCCCGCCGGAGTGGTACCTATTTATCTACTTGCACTTTGATGTGCTTTCGAACTGCTAGGTTGGCAGGAGCTGGGACTGAGCAACGGGAGCTCACCCCGTCGCGGGGATTCGAACCGCCAACCTTCTGATCAGCAAGCCCTAGGCTCTGTGGTTTAGACCACAGCGCCACCTGGAGGTAGTAGCTTTTTAAAATGTTTCTCCCCACCCCCCTTCTTCTAATTTTCTTTTTGTTGGCATCTATCATCTATCTATCATCTATCTATCTATCTATCTATCTATCTATCTATCTATCATCTATCTATCTATCATCTATCATCATCTATCCTTTTGTGAGCTTCATGGCTGAATAGGGAATTTGAACCCAGAACCTCCTGGTCCTAGTCTTATCTACCCTCCAGCTCTCAACTACCATATTTTTTGCACCATAACACTCACTTTTTTCCTCCTAGAAAGTAAGGGGAAATGTCTGTGTGTGTTATGGAGGAAATGCCTACGGGTGGCATGCCTACAGATTTTCCTCCTCTAAAAACTATGTGCGTGTTATGGTTGGGTGCGTGTTATAGAGCGAAAAATACGGTAGCTACTTATTGCAAATACCCCTTAAGCCTCTGGGGGCTCTCTTTCACCCAAAGGAAACCAAACCTGAATTTTGCTGCAATCCCTGGAACTTTTCACAGGTTAGGAAAGTAAGGAGCCTATCGCTAAATGCCAGTGTGACCAATTTGCAGAATTTATGCAGAATTTGGCCACTTTCCTTGGTGCAGAATTTTAGTTGTGCGAGTTCTCTGCACAGCATATAGGGGGATACCTGGCAGCAGTTCACTTACCTCTCTAGTGAAGAGAATGGCTGTGTCGAAATGCTCAGGATCCTCGTCACTCTCCTTATTGAGGCCTTTCTGCCATGTGCAGAAATTTCGCAGCGTCTCGGCAGCGTTGGACGACACCCGCAACCCGTCCTTGGATTGTCCAATCACAACCAGCCTGGTCACGACCAAGTTGACTGGATTCTTCAGGCTGGGGTGTCGGAAGAACTTGGCAGCCGCTGCCATGATGGTGAGGAGGTAGCGCTTGAGGCCTGCACCGTGGAAATGCGCCATCTCTTCATCAGCCACCACCAGAGTCTCCACATAGCGTGGGATGGAAGCAAACCGCTGCAGGGAACAGAAGGGATGAAGAGAGGTGAGTTGGAAAGAGGGCGAGTGAACCTCATTCTGCCCCACATACACCATGGGGAAGCAAGCTTTGCCCTAAGTGCCTAGGCAGGGACAGAACACTGGGTGGGGATACATGAAATGACAGATCCATCAATTTAATTAATGTTATCTGCTATATATTTTGAGAAGCTGTTTGTTGTCTATGCATTTGGACACCTCTTACGATACCACAACAAGTTTTTGCGTGGCAGTTCCTGAAATTGAAGAGCAGGTATTTGTCTTATCTTTGGAGACATTTGGATGCCATTTTGAATCAAGATGGCAGACCGTTCCGTTCAAAACTGCACTGATTTTAAGCACTGATTTCAAGACTGCGCTGGTTTTTCTGTTTCTTAGAATTCCTGAGCAGCATCAGGTACAAGTCTGCTAGCCAGTTATATTTGAAGAAGGATTGTAGTTCAATGGCAGAGCACGTGCTTTGAATGCGGGAACTTCCCCGCTGTTTCATGTTAGAAGTACACTACAGAAAACCTAATTTTCTGCCTGGGGCTGCATTTCCTCCAGAGTGATCTTCCAGGGGCCACATACCAGGGCTGGGTGCAGGCAGATGCAGAGGTGTGAAGCAATGGATCTGACTCTTATCTTTGTATGGTAGGTTCCATTCCAGCCATGCAAAATGCAGGAACATAGGAAGCTGTCTTATACTGAGCCAGACCATTTGTCCATCTATCTCGGTATTGTCTACACTGATTGGCAGTTGCTCTCCAGGGTCCTGTACCTGGAGATGCTGGGGATTGAACCAGTGACCTTCTGCAAGCAAAGCAGTCGTTCTACCACTAAGCTATTTCACTTCCCCAAGGGCTTCTACACACAGAGAGAGATTTCTCCATCTTCCTTCCAGCCAAGCAAGAAGTATTATCACAGTTCAAGGACACATTCAGCCAGGCAAAAGCACCAGAGGATATGGTTTGTGAGATGGGCTGTGGCCTGTGGAGAGACGCAAGGGCCACATTTGCCCCCTGGTATTAGATTCCCCAACCCTGCCACAGAAAGTGATGGGAAAGACTCTTCTCTGCCTGAGATTCTTGAGAGCTGCTGCCAGTCAGAGTGGAAAATACTGAGCTATACTAGGCTGCTTCCTAGATTCCTGTTAATAATAGCCAAGGCAGGGAACACTTTAAAAAAACAACCTTTTAAAATCAAATAGATTTTATTGAAACGATTGCATGCAAAGGATGTGTGGCAAGTAAAATATCTGACACCAAAAAGGATTTAGGGCTTGGGGAATTTGAAACTAAGCAGTTTTGGTGGGGAAACAGTTCTTTAGCTGGAGATGGTCAGGGAGCTTAGATGACAAGGCCCAACAGTTTTGACAGATGGATTAATCAACCCCGGGCTTCTGTTGATTAATCTGTCAGGCCCCATTTGAGCAAATAAACAACATATGTGCCTGAATGCCTTGGTGTCTGCAGCCAGGCAGTGTGGAAGAAGATGAGTAGCGGAGAGCTTGTGGGGTAGCTTTCTTGACTGGCTGCTGGACAAAATTCCTGAGGGAGGGAAGGAGGGAGACTTTGAGGGCCGTCTCTGCTGTTGGCTCAGAGCCTCAAGCCTCGACTCCTTCGGTGCAGCAGGAGACCAGGCACCAGTGCCTGCCTTCCGCTAAGTAGGAGGCGAGGTCTCTTGGGGCCTGTGCGGTGCTGAGACATCCCCGCCACCGTGTGAGGTCAGAGCTTGCCACGGCTTCGCTGCATTACATGCGTCACGAAGACACAGAGGTGAAGGGTTAGGGTGACAAAATACGAACCGGGTTGATGTCAGATTTGATGGGGACAGACTTTCACTGGTGCTCAAAAGCTTGCACTGGTTGCTCTTACTCTGTCAGGGCCAGGTTCAAGGTTCTGGTATTCATGGCCAAGGCTTAATTGGCGACAACTTGAGCCAAGAATACCTGATCTCTTATATCCCTGCCCAGTCATAGAGGTCTTTGGGGTAGTCACTTTCAGAGCCCCCCCCTTCTCTCAGAGGCACAGTGTTACACACCACCCCAATTTCCAAGAGTGGTGTGAGATTCCAGGGGTTCCAGGCGCTTACCCAGGGTTATTGCTTCCTCTGGGAAGATTGAGGCACAGTGGAGGCGAGTGCTTTTAAGAAATATATTACTTATAATATAAATGGCTCGTATCCATTAGGAGCTGTGTGTTCAATATTGAGGACCCAGTTTTATGGAACCCCCTTCCAGCTGAGGCCAGGCTTTTATTCTAGCAGGCAGTTTCAAAGGAATTCTGATTTTATAGCTTTTACTCGTTTTTATTGTGTCACGGTTCTGGAACAAATGCTTAGAGACTATTGTAGTTAAGTGGTCTGTAAATGATTGAAATAAATAATAAAACACCACCTCTGCTTCATGGAGGGGGTTGTTGAAAACTCAGGACTTGCTTGTGGGCTTCCCAGAGTGGCATCTGGTTGGCCACTTTGAGAACAGGATGGCAAATAGATGGGCCTCTGGCCTGATCCAGCAGAGCTTTTCTTATGCTCTCTGCCACAATCTTTTTGAGATCTGAAAGCTCTCTCTCTCTCTCTCGCTCCTAAACTTTAAACTTATGCTTGCTTACTCAGCGGTACAGAGGAAGAGCAATTCTGCACATGCCTAGAGGAGTTCTCCTCTTGCTTCAAGGGCTGGTGTGTATCATCCACTGTTCAAATCACGGGGCGATGGGAGGTGGGGTGGCTCTCACTGAAATCCACAACCTTCCACCCTGACAATCCCAATGGGTCACCAGCCATCGCTATATATTACCCCCAGGACTAGAGGCGGGACCAAAGCAGGAGAGGGCCAGTGGGGTCGGCTTCCTCCTTTTTAGTCTCATTGTTGGCTTTGCAGAACTCAACAGGGAAGAGGATGGGTTCAAAACTAGAGTCACTTGGCTCTGCCTGCCGCTGGCTGTGGCGCCACCTGCTGTTAGCCTCCTTCTCTTCTGCCCTGCTGGTCCCAATGGGCACCAGCCACTGCCAGGAGCCTCTCCCTTTCTCTTTGAAAGCAAACTTTCTTACAAGCATCCTGAACACCCAACAGTTGCTAGGCAGGTTTCCATTTTGACAGTAGAGATGTGTTCAGGTTGGTTGCTGGCACTGAATGAGCTTAAGCTGGTGTGCAAAGGTAGAGCCTCAATCAGACTTAAGGGGCCAACTGTGCATCTCAAAAGAAAGAGGAAAACCACCCCCACCCCCCAAAAAAAGAAGGTGGTGATGTAGATTTGCACAAAAAAATGCACACGATAAATTATGCGCATAGCTGCCAGCATGGGTTCTTGGTGACCTTTGGGAATAGCAGGGCAGAAGGCAAGGAGGCCAACAGTAGGTGGCCCCATAGCCAATCCCAGGGAGAGCCACTATGTCCAGCTAGGGCTGGGAGAAACCTTGGAGAGCCACTGGTAGCTGCTAAGCTAAATGGATTAGTCCTCTGACTTGGCATGAGGCAACTTCCTGCGTTCTTATGACAGGAGCCTTCACTGTCCTCCTTTGCATTCAGCCTCTCTTCCTCTAACCACTGGCCTGCTTTCTCAAGACATCTTGGCAGCTGTTCCAAGATGGCACCCAGACCAGGGAGGCCATGGCTTGCATCTGCATGGAGCTGCTTTCTCTCCCCAGCCTCCCCGATGGCTTTCTACAGCTTTGCCAAGACTTTTCTTGTCTCTTTCCCAACCCCAACCGATGACACCTCACAGCCAGGGCAAAGAGCAGTCAGAGGAGGGGAGGGTTGTGGTGGGTGATGGGTGCAAGTGTGGAATCGCTGCCTGGGGGCTGGGCGTTCCCTGCTTCACTCTGTTCCATTATTATCTCTCAGACTTGGCCCCAAGGAAGAATCTGAAGGATGCAGACACTGCATCCAGATCCCCCACTGCCTGCCTGCCACTGAGTGGGAGTGACAGAGATATCATAATTAACATGCCTTTAGAAAATGTGACCCAAACAAAATGAAAACATGAAAAAGAAGACTTATTTCTTAACAATGGGCTTGGGCAGAAACAGCGTGCTAGGTGCTGTATGGGTAGGGATGGGCCAATCTGTCAATTTCAACGTCTCTCAGTGTCTCGTTTTTCCAACTTTACATACATTTGGCTTTCTGCATTTTCACATCAGTTTGCATATTTCTTTTGGTGGTGACTGGGGAGGGAGGTCCTCACAAAAATTCATCACCAGTTTAGTGCAAATCTCCCCTAATGTTCATATCTCTGTATGCAGTTTTGCCTAGTATCTATGGTTCTTACTAATGACACTTTGCTATGCCTGTGAACCTGCCAGGAATCAGTATCTTTGATGGATTCACCAAGCCAGTGTTGTTGACAATGACAGCCTTCCCTAACACCCTGTAGATGCTTTTGGACTACAGTTCCCATCATGCCTGAGCAATGGCCATGTTGGCTGGGGCTGATGGGAGTTGGTGTCCAGTGACATTTGAAAGGCATGAGGTCGAGGAAGGTTAAGGAAACAGGAACAATTCATAACTTGTCTGGCAAGACCAAGTGCCATTGGCTCAAGAGTCCCTGTACACAACCAGTGTCAGGGATCAACCCCATTGGGCATTTACTGTGGCCCCACATCCCCAAAGGGGCCCTACTTTTGATACCCCAGAGCCTCCTGGCTCTGCTCCTCCTCCTCGCCATTGCCATCTGTTCACTTGCTTTCTCCAAGCTTGTCAGGAGAAGCAGCAACAGCAGTAACCACCTCTCTTGGGTCCAACTAAGGGGGCATTCAGACATGGAGTTTATTGCGGTAGTTTGCCTGGCTAAAATGCAGGCTCTTCTGTTCTGGTTCCCAAAGTTCCTTTTCCACCGCATTGCCTGTTGCCTTATGGAACAGTGGCTTTCATATTGGCATCTCATCATGCCATACTAAATTTCATTCACACCAGTGGGCGTGGTGTGACCTGACCTATCATTGGACATGTTGCCAGCCTTTAGGCGCATGCGTGCCTCTGTTCCCCCATGATTCGCCAATGGAAATGACAGAAACAAACTGTATGCCGGAATACCGCCCCAAATTCACGTGAGTGGCGGTGGCATGATGCATGAAAACTGCAGAAAGTACAAAAACTGCGGAAAGTGCAAAAGCCCCACAATTTCCTGGGTTAACTGGGTTGCAATTGACATGGAAGTGAGCATCAAACCTCTGTTAGATACCTGATACTGCTATGGGCTCCCAGGAAAATGGGGACATAGTGGGCAGTTGAGAACATTCCCACCGGGAACCTCCAAAGAACCTTTTGGGTGGGGAGAAGGGCCGTACCAAAATGGATGTAGAGGGACCCAGGTTCAATTGCGATGTCCTTCAGGTCAGACTGTTCATATCCCATGCCTGAAACCCCGGAGAGCTACCACCAGCCATTGTGGACAACGCTGAACTAGATGGACAAGTGGTCTGAGCCTGTATCATGCAGTTTCCTTTAAGAGCAAGACAGAAATGCTAAAACAAGGACTCAAAAGCCAGCCCCGAGCGCAATGTGGAACTATATGGCATTTGCAAAGTATTCCCGGTAAGTGTTTTTGGCAGCCGCATCCCTCCATCCCAGCATGATCATGCTCTTACCTTTGCTCTCCTGGGAGATGCTTCGTCCTTGGGCAATGGTTTGCCTGCTGGGGCTGTCATGCTCTCTGGCGCCTGGGACCCGACGCCGCACATTGGGCCATCCGCTTTCTCTGGCATCTTCTTCCTCACCACGTGGGCTCCGGCTCCTCCTGCCGTGTTCGGGGCTCCCCCTTCCAGGGGCTGCACGTGGTACTCGGTGCCACGGTACTGAAGCACCCCCAGCAGCGATGCCCCGTCGTAGTTGACCGCCGCAATCGATTCCGGGTCAGAGTTCACCGTGCCAGTGAAGTAGGTCCCTTGCTCGGCCAAGGTATCCACTGCTTGTCCCGACCTGCCCAAATACTGGACCGTCAAGCCCTCTGCGACGAAGCTGGGGTCTTTCTCTAAATTTAGGACCAGTTCTTCACCGAACACGCGAAGGCGGTAGGAGAGCCGCTCATCCGAGCTGCCGCTGCTACCCAGGCCGTTGTCTAGCATGTCACCCTCATCCCAACCCGCAGGATGGAATGTGGCATTGAGTCTCTCGGGGAAAATTATTTCTTCTTGATACTGGCCGAAACGGGCCCGTTCGTCCACAGCGAGGACCAGGTGGCAGCAGGTGATAAACCAAAGAAGAAACATTTGGAACTTTTTTTTTTTTTTTGCTAAAAGCAACCTTGCGGGGAGAAAGGGCAGAGCTTGGTGATCTTTGAGGGAGAAGATTCTTTTAAGGAAAAAGAGGAGCCCCTGAGATTAGCAAAAATAAAATCAAAAACAAATCAACAGCTCGGCTGATGCACACAAAGGATGTGGGCAGTAAACGGAGGCAATTGAGGTCGCTCCTTCTGTCCTATCTGTGGCTCACAGCACCTAAGCAAGGAGCATCATCCACTCTCCTTTGGGTTTTGAAATCCACCTCCAGTCACCACCTCACTCACCCCAGCATGAAGTCTCTCACTGCCTATTTAAATTTCTTTAAAATGGACCATCAAGAAGTCCCTTTTCCAGAATTGTGGGGTTTCTCTTTCTTTCTCTCTCTCTCTCTTTCCCCACCTCAACGCCAAGTCTTTTTGAGCTGTCTTCTTTTCAGCACACACACTCTTCTTTAAAACAAAAAACCCGGCAGCGATCTGGAAGCCTGTGCAACAGGATGGAGCTGAGGTTTTCCTTTCCTTTTGTTCCAAATTTTAAAAGAAATACAAATATATAAATATACCTCTCTCTTCAAAAAGGGGGCTTCCTTCCTTCTGAATAAAGGAGCTTGAATGAAAAGCCGGTGGAAGAGGGGGAAAAAGAAACCACAAGAAATCGATGTCAATTCCAGTTGGCGTTTTCTCTTTTCTTCGCGTCTGTCTAAGAATCCTTGGGAACTTTTTGAGTTTGAAAGAGCGCAAGAGAGAGAAAATGTGTGTATGTGATATATATATTTATATGTGTGTATTAATCTCTCCTCCTTTATTAAATTGCGCTATAGTTGCTCGTTCAAGCATCCAGCTCCTTTTAACAGCTGTTTTTGGCTTCTGCTGATTGGCTGAAGCAAGGTAATTTTTTTTTATAGCCTTCCTTGGCCCCCCCTCCAATTTTGCTGAAGTACAAAAGACGCAAGCAGGCAGTCGTTTGATGAGATCATAAATTACAACAGTTTGTATGTGGGTTCTTTTTTCTTTTTTCTTCCGTCCAAAGTAAGGGGGGGAGTGGGTTGCAGAGGGAAATGATGGTTCATCCATTGGCTAGAAGCCAATTTAAGGGTGGGAATTGCAGTTGTGACTCAACAGATTGCCAATTTCTGACACAGCATTTTTCTTCATCTTTAAACACAGCGTCCGGACCTTCTCTTTTGTAGATTCCCTTTTGCTATCTCTGGCTGTGTGCAGGATATTATTATTATTATTATTATTATTATTATTATTATTATTATTACTACAGATGTTGCTACAGTGAGTGAAAGCATGCTGGCTGTTTCAGAGTTGAAATCACCCAAAACCCACACCTACTTTTAAGTGGAGGGTGGGAGACTTCCCTGTTCCAATTGCTACTAGTCCACATGGTTTGAACCTTGAATGCTTTTTAAATTGTGGAAAATGGTATCATAGAAACTTCAGATCCCTTTTAAGGTACTTTCTTCAGGGCCCCCATCCCCAACTATTGGATATGACTGGCTGGGGCTGATGGGAGCTGGAGTTCAACAACACCTGGAGGGCCACACATTCCTCAACACCTGTCCTAATCCTAGAAACACTTACCTGGAAGTAAGTTCCATTGAGCTGTATGGGACTCATTTCCAAGTCAGTTCTCAAGCAAATGGCGCAATCTCTGGCTGGCAAAATAAATTTACAAGGAAGCAAGAGGAGGTTACAGGACATACCAAAAGTTAAGAAATGGATAGATAAAATCTGGGAAGAGCTTTGATGTCAAAACTGGTGTATTTTAGAAGGACAACAGCAACAGCAAAATATCTCGAGGAAAAACTGGTCCATCCATTGAGTAAAGTAATATTTTAACATTCCCAATCAAAAGCTGTTTTTATATTATATTGAATAACATTGGATGTCTATAACAATAATAATCTACTAAGTATCAGCTACATACATGCATATGAAAGAGGCCAAGTTTAGGACAATGGAAGACAGAGATGCATTACGTGTATATTTCTATATACTTATGTGTACATATAAAATAGACAATATATATTACATGTGTGACTATTTAAATATGTGCATACACACTCATAATAGCAAAGCATAATGTATATATAATAATTATATAAAAAGCAATGTATATAAAATTATAAACACAGTTATTTTCTAGGCATTAGAAAGAACCAAAACAGGAAATAAACATTGCTGTTTGTGATCTTGGTGAAGTAGAAAGCAATTAGGTTTGCATCCAAATTTGTTTGTGCAGTAAGTTTTCTCCCTTCTTCCTGTCTATCTGTTCTACATTGGGGAATACTGATGAATAAAAATCAAAAAGAGGGGGGAATATTTTACCAATACATTGGCAGGCAATGTATTTTACCAATACATTGGTAGTAGCGCATCAACAAGATCAATGTAAACAGCCATTAATCTGGATTAACTCTTACCACAGCCTTCCACAAATCATTATAGGAAGTGTACTGCACATCAAGACTTGAGAAGTTGCTCCTTGCCCTTTGATAGGAAATCAGTTTCCATTCCACAAATTTTATTCCACTGGGAGTAAAAACAGGGGCAGCTGGTCCACTGGGGCAAATAGGGCCCTGCCCTACCAACCTCAGTCTGCCCTCAGATAGCCATCTCCATTTAGTTTGATGTTTTATTATGCTTTCATATTTGTTGGAAGATGCCCAGGGTGGCTGGCGGAGTATTATTATTATTATTATTATTATTATTATTATTACCATCATCATCACCACCGATCAAGGGGTGGCTTTGCCTGTGATTGGCTCTCTAGCTGAGCCTGTGATTCCCTGGTTCTGGCTCCACCTATTGTTGATTTCCACCCTACTAGTCCCAATGGCCACAAGCCACCATACATCAGTAATAATCATAACATTGTAGAGCTGGTCCAACCCCCTGAAATGCTGGCATATTTTGCCCAACATGGGGCTTGAACCCATAGCCCTGAGATTAAGAGTCTCATTCTGTACCTCTACCAGCTGAGCTATCTACACTGAATAAGTAACACTTTGGAGCCATTCATGATATCCCAAATCATTTGAGGCAGCACTCCCCTCTGCCCAACGGTAGAGCCAGGGCTGGCCAAGACCCCCTGTGCCCATCTGAGTAATCCCCATAGCAAGATGACAGGCCTCTGAGTTGACCTCTGGGACAGTCAGATTTGCATTTGTTCATGACTTCCCAGATGATTTTGCTATTTGTGATGATGGTGCCTTTGTACAAGATAAGTCTCTCACTCTTGAGGGAGTCAGACAAGGGCTGCCATTTTATGGCAGCCTCCCTACCCTTCCCAGACCAAGAGAGTTCTTCTGAGAACATGTTGTCCAGCTTTCCCACAGTCCCTTGGGCCTCCTTTGGGAAAGCCAGGAGAGAGGCCAAGCAGAGCAAGACGTAGCAGGGGTTAAGGCCTTGGAAAACTCAGCGCTTTTGAAGGGGGAAATCGGGCTTAGTTCCAGAGAGAGAAATCTTTCTCGTGGCTTGGCAGCTGAGCACTACAATTATACTTTCCTTAGCCTGTGGCGGTGATCTCGATCTCTCTCTCTTTCTGTCTTTCTCTCTATCTCTCCTTCCTTCCTTCCTTCCTTCCATAGAAGAAGGAGCTCTTTCTTCTATTGATTATGAATTTTAATGCGGTTTTAAAAAATTATATATAGACACCAGCCACATTTGCACCATGCATTTAAAGCACTGTGATACCACTTTAAACGGTCATGGCTTCCCTCAAAGAATTCTGGGAGCTGAAGTTTGTGAAGGGTGCTGAGAGTTAGGAGACTTTCTTCCCCTCTCAGAGCTACAGTTCCCAGAGTTCCCTTAGAAGACAGATGAATTGTTAAACCACTCTGAGAATTATAGTGCATATCAAAAGAAATTGCTGGATAGGTGACTTAAAAAAAAAAAGCAAACTAAGTCAGAAACTTGAAGATCTGAAGTTCAAACTAGAAAGTTGAGAAATGGAAAGAAAGGAAAACTGAAAGATTTGTCGATCCCTACAGAGCACTTCTAATCATCTTATCAGCCATGGCTTCTCCCAACTAATCCTGGGAAGTGTAGTTTGTTTAGGGTGCTGGGAATTGTAGCTCTGTGAGAGGTTTCTCCTAACAACTCTCAGCAGCACTCCTAACAAACTACAATGGGCGAAAAGCCTTGGCTGTTAAAGTGGCATTAATGGGTGGTGCTTGAAACGCATGGTGTGGGTGTGATCTTTTCAAAAAAGAACTGACTTCTTGCGGTTTGGAAAGTAATAGGGGATGACTAAATGGACCATCTATATACACCCGGCAAGCAGATCAAAATGCATGCAGGACAAACGCTCATTGTCATATAACCAGCCCTGCAAACAAATCAGAACTAACGCAGCTCAGTATAGATTGTACACAGTCTAATGCTGGTGTTCTGCAAACTTGGGCCCCCAGAAGTCATTTGACTATGACTCCCATCACCCCTGACCCATTGGCTAAAGTGGCTACGGATGATGGGAGTTGTAGTCCAATAAAAATAGGGGGACTCGGGGTTGAAGAACATTGGTCTAACCTTCACGTAAGCTTTCTGCAAGTCAGTCAGCACTGAACGCTCATTAAACAGGTCATCTGCAAGGACCCACAGTTTCAAAAATAAGTAGAATGGATTCTTTGTTATATTTTTATATAAAAACAAACAAACCAAGAGACCTACTTGGTATCTTGTCACAGTCTATACAATGTTATGACCACAATGAAGAAATTATATCTGATTCTCTCACTCGCTCGCTATTCCTCCCTCCCCTCTCTTATTTTTCTTTGTCCTCCTCTAACCCCATCTCTCAGCCTCTCTCTCTCTCTCTCTCTCTCTCTCTCTCTCTCTCTCTCTCTCTCGGATTCAGGTTTCCTTGGATCGACTCCCCTCCAGCTCCGCCAAAGTAGCAGGGGGAGATCCCTCTGGCTCACCAGGCCCTCTGCTGAAATCTAAGCGACCCCTTTATGAAAAAACTCAGTTACTAAACAAAAAAAAAAGCTGATTTAAAAAAACACCAATTATTTACCCCCGCCTCCTATAGCTGCATTCGACATTCATCCCCCCTCCTTTAACTGCCCGCCTCTTGTCTTTCTTTCCAACCTCCTAGCATTATTTTCCTTCTTTCACCACGTTTATTCACCCTCTCTGTAGGTCTTGAATTTATGTTAGTGTGGTTTGTTCCATCTCTCCCCACTCCTCCTTTTCACATCTGTTCCACCCCCTCCACACACACACACACACACACACACACACACACACACACCGCCCCGTGTGCAGAAGCCTTTTGCGGCCAACAATATACTCTCATCTTTTCCTTGTCTCTCCCAGTCCCTTCTTACACCCCCTCTCCTCCGCCCGCCTCCAAGCTCTACAGCACTGAGCTGCAGGAGATGAAAAAGTCTGCAGCTCCAACCTGGAAATGGCCACAACTATTGTAGGTCAGGAGCAAAAAAAAAACCCAAAAACCCTGGGGGGAATTTTTAGCTACCCTGGCAAACCCATCACCGGTGGCAAAGCAAACACAAATCCTCGCCCATTCTTAGTTCTTCAAAGCGGCGACAAAATCTGCCCTCATCCTCTGGTTCATTTTCTTGGCGGCCTGCCATCTCTACCACCTTGGCATCATGGAAACGGTAGAACTTAAACTGTACAAAGCAAGTTTGGGAAGGCTGCGGTTTCTTTCTCTGAATATCCCTCCCGCCTGCTTCTTCCTGAATCAAACGTTCCATCTCCTGATATCACGGTCCCAGCCCTTCTTCACACGGGGGCCAAATATCAAGGTGAGGAAACTAGGTCAGGTATTTTAAATTGCCTCCTTTCATTACAGCTTTTCAAAAGGTATATGGGAAGCCATTTGCTGTGCTCCTCAGAGCTGGCCTGAGGGGTGGACAAGTGGCTGGGCCTTGTATTCCTCTGACTGTCATTTGTATTAACTGTTTTTAATTTCTGAATTTTAAATTATTGTAACCTGCCCTGGGACCCTGCGGGTGGAGGGTAGGTAGTAATGATAGTGCTTCAGCAAGGAAGAACTACATACAGTGGTTACCTCAGGTTACATACGCTTCAAGTTACAGACTCCGCTAACC